GTTAATCATTGAGCTAGACATCTGAGATACTGATGCACTTTTTTGTGGTTTTAATAATCCACATTTAACCCACTGCTGAATACGGCAAAAGAGGAGATCCAAGCAAACATTTTCACCAACTTGGAAACATGAATCACAGCTGATCTGATTGTTTTCCTATCAAATTTAAAATAAAAGGAAAAGATATAGATATCAAATCTAAATAACGGCCTGCAGATATTTCACAGCGTGAGGGAGTCGCTTAATTATTTTCACATTTGATGCGAATTTCATTTTTGTTTCCGATATTGGCTTTTAAGCTGGGACTTAACAGCCATGCACGGAGGAGATTAGAAGGTGGATTTCTTTGCGCAAACTGTCGAAAAGCTGATGGAGAGAACTAATCCTCTCTATCTGCATCATCATTCTTTAAAACTGCACGCTTTCTGTCTGTCTGTATTTCTCTTTTCAGCAGTTCAATTTCATTTTAGTGCACAAAAGATGACCTGCCCTTTTTTATGTTTAATTTTTTATGAACAGGGCACCAGTAGCCGCTGATTTTTCTTTCCCCTCCAGTGAAAGAGGGTTTCACACATTGTGCTCTCCTTTATGGTTTTGTGTGAAAAACTGTCGCAGGAGGTTTGGCTCGCGCATTAACCCAGACCCCGACAATATCACGCTCAGCAGTGGCCTGAAGCCGGTGCCAGGCTTTGAGAGGATGCCACCCTCGCTTTGTTTGAGGGACCGAGGGCTCGAAGGCAGCAAGGGTGCTGGTTATGATGACAGCGCCGCTGCAGATCAACTGATCAATTATAGCCATGCAGGTATGAAAAACAAAAAAAAAGTCATTATTAATTTGTATCTGAAGAAAAAGGTCAGCGAGCTGAACTCTCACAGCCGCCGCTGATTATAGTCACAGAAGAACAGACACTTCATCCGGGCGCGCTCTTAATCTGAGCAAATGTAAGCTGGTGGTGCTTCGACACAAATCCCCCCACTGTCCTTCCTTTGAGAGATAAAGAGAGAAAGATACTGATTGCTTTTCCTATCCATTTTTACTCAAAGACGCACCTCACATCAGCAGGAGTCATTGTTTGTGACTGGGTGTTGCTGCTGACATGTCGGACTGGCTTTGTTTTATTTTGGAATTAGGCTCCACAAAGGAGAAATCAAGACTTTTTTTTTAAATATTTCGCAGGTCCTTTAAGTTCTCCTTTCCAGCAGTTTGATGTCTGACACATCCTCGGGCCGGATGCTTCAAATCTACATGAAACTCCATCAAAATAGCACTGCCTTGTTATTTTGTTTCAAACTTAGAAGCAGCTTTTGTTTAAAGTAGATGTAGCAGGCAAAAAAAAAAAAAAGAAAAGAAAAAGTAAGCAAAGCAGAATCGAAGAGCCATTTCATCAGTCGGGGTGCTGTAATCTAGGCAACAATGTTCGCCAGCCGTGGTGGCAGCGGAGGAGGTAAGGGGGGGAAATACTCCGTGGAGGACCTCTATGGCATCAGTAAGAAGCCCAAGGCGTCGACCTCCTCGGGGAGTATTGTGGCCAAGGCTGGGACCCGGAGCAGCAAGAGCTCGGAACAGAAGACTGAGTCAGAGGCCTTGGCCTCTCAGATCCTGGAGGCAGCCCACAGACTGGTGGAGCGACGCCGGCTGGAGCTGTACCTGAGAGAATGTGGCCTCTCCCTGGCTGAGTGCGAGGCTGAGCGCTCTGCAATGCCGTACAGGTATGAGGAGAAGACTTTACAGCATGAAATCATGAGGCAGTCTGTAGTTATGACTTAGTATATTTAATTAGGCCACTAAAAAAAATAAAAGCAGTTATTAATAATAAAGAACTGGAACGTACAGCCTACACGAGGCTGCAGATTTAACTCAGATCTGCTTTTTTAGTGAGTGCAGGACTCACACTGAATGTCTGGATTTTACAGAGATAATAAGAGACCATCCCGAGCACTCAGCCATCCGTGGATGATCCATTTTAATAACGTGGTTAATATTTTTCTAACATATTACTAATGCGTTGATGTAATTGAGTGTTTGGAGAGGACTGCAATTGAAAGGCAGTGAGTGGAGACATCATTCACGAGAGATGGGGGAACAAAAATATTTGTTTTTTTTTGGTTTTTTGTTGTTTTTTTTCTCACTGGTGACCTAAAAAGAAACATCAGGCGTTTGATGAGATTTCAATGCAGAGGACTGATGAGTGTACGTGGCCGGACTGCAGAAGCATCCGGTTGTTCAGGAACGCTAATGTGAGTTGTACGTGAGCCATTGTCTAATTCCAGCCTTCCCAAAAAACAGCCTGACGGGGTCAGGCATCAGTGGTGCAGAAGTTTGGGGTTAATGATGCATGATTTGACAGCGGGGGACCGGCGCTTGGTTGTTGTACCGCGTGCATCTCTCTGTTTAAAGTGTGGAGGCGAATGAACGGTGATGTTGGCTACTCTTCAATCAGTTTACCAAAAACCTAGGGAAAAATAGATTTTTGTAAATTGAATGAGACTTGAAAAAAGGAGGGGTGGGGTGCTTACAGAGAAGAGGAAGATACGGGCCAAGCTGCTGCATATTTCATTATTACTGCTTAAACACCATCATACTAAAATACTGAGTGCAGATTCCATTACATTTGTCATTTTATTTGCTATAACACATCCAAAACATGCAAACACAGTCATCTAGTCTCCAGCACAGTTGCCTCTAGGTGGCAGTGTCATCATGGTGTGAAGACAAGTCTGTGACCAATGACTCAAAAGCAGAAAGAGGGACAATAGTGCAGGCCAAGGGGTATCATTTGCAATTTCACATCATTTTTATGCTCAGATCTAGGACTTACTTTATAGCACATTTGTACTGGCAGTGTACATTTTGATAGCTGAAACAAACTAACGGCGTACCAGAGTAGGATTCAGTTGATTCGACCACCTCTGGCAGAACCGCTTCCATCACTTGAACTGCCCTACAGAGCCTGCAGTGGAAGTTGTTTCCACAGCCTCTGTGCGCCTTCATTTGCATGAGATCTGGACTCCCTCCTGACAGAAAATGATTGCCTGTAATCAAAACAGAAGCCAGCGTCTACCTTGACGTTCTCTCTCGTTTTCCCGGTTTAGCTGCAAACATTTGAGCTGCAGAAATGTGAGCTATTTAGATTCTGAAAAACAGACAACGAGGGGCGAATGAAACGAAGCTAATAGGTCAGACAGATTTGAACATGCGTGAATCTTCATGGTTTATATTAAAGTAATTCTGTCCTCTTTTCGAGGAGCTGAATTACTTTTGAATAAAAACCGCAAGGAGAAACAAGATGCCTTTAAAGTCACAGGGTCAACGCCATCAGCTTTCTCAGAACGTCATGCGAATTTCATGTTGAGGCACACCTGCAAACACTTCTTAGCATTCTTTAGTGCTATTTTAGTTCAAGCGTGTCAAAACCAACATGAACACCACCATGGGAGACGCGTTTTCTTGCTTCATCCTGCTTTAAAAAAGACATTTACACATTTATTTATTTCTCTATTTACCAGCTTACGTCGAATTGTTCTGTTTTTAAGTGAAAATGGAGCCAAAAGGGTTGACAGGCAAGTCCAGGTCATTTAATTCTGTAGCATTAAAGGAATATGCTTGCAAGCACTTATCAAAGTGCGGTTTGGCAGATTTTAGGGGATTATAGCTCAGAAAGTCACACTTTGTGATGAGTTTTTACGCTGAGTCTGAGTTGCATGAATAACCTACCTTTTCAAGGACGTTCAAATTATAGAAGCTCTTGTATAATCCAGCTTGAGAAGAAAAAAAAGCCATCTACTGGATCCCCTCATTTTCTGATAATTTGATTCCATAACGTTATCATTACTAGGAAAATAAGGATGCACCACACACGTGCTCATTTTTGGTCTATCTCCACCCAAATACTTCAAGATGAGGCTCACAAGTGTTGGTTGTGTCCCGAGGTTTTAGCGCTGTAAGCTTCTGAAGTGAAGAACAGACTGAGTCAGTGTCATTACTGTGTAATACGGCAATGCCAGTGGCCATTATTTGGAGCGAAGGGGAAGGTTAAGCCTACAGGGAGATGAAGATAAAGAAGTCGACATGATTATGCAAAAGTTTGGCTATACAAAAATAATGTGCTTCCTGGAAAATAAGCGCCTTAACAGTGAAGTGGAAGTAATTAAATCTTCTCCTCTTTTGAAGCGCCACCACGGGCAGCATTCGTATTTTCTCTCTGCCTGTACAGCTGGAAACTTCCCCGTCCAAACTTGTGCTGAATGGTTCTTTAGAAAGAGCTGATTGCCAACTCAAAGTCACATTCTGCTGGCAGTGGATGCCCTGCAATCTGCTCTGGGACTGCAGATCTGCTTCAAAACACTAGATGTGAAACCAAATTGACAATGGTGACAAATCTGGGGTATTTTGCACATCGTCCTGCTGTGTGAAGCACACTTAGTGGGGCGAGCACTAACCACAGAGTAAAGCCTTTTGGATTGACAGTCCTCTCTAAGGATATGGCATCACACTTTAGATGGTAAACAAAGCCTGGAAGGGGCTATTATCATTGCTTGGCCACCAAAATGACACATCCATTTCATTTCATTATGATGGGCTGCAGGATGATCTGATATGCCCTGCCGTGCTATGCCCATGATGTGATGTATTGTGACTTAAAAACCCATCTATCCTCTGTTTGCTCAGAGGTAGTAATGAGTGTAATTCTGGTGATTGGGTCATTGATGGCAAATCAAGCTATCATTGGGGAGGGCAATGTTTTGCATAGGAAGAATAGGAATAATGGGAGTGGTGGGAAGACAGAATTCTGGATCTTATGGAGGGAAAAAAGATGGTTTGGGGAGGGGGTTGAGTAAGTATAGCCTAATGTGTGCCTTTGTGATGAAATGTGTGCGCATCGGTGTGATGAAAAAATGTGGATCACACCCGAAAGAAAGGGAGGGAGTATCTATCCAAACCCCCACACTGCTTGTGTGTCGTGAACGTTTTGAAGCCTGTGGAAAAAAAAAGGAGGGGGGGGCGGTCTCCAAATGATGCTGGAGAGCCGAGAGGCGGCACCGAGCGTTTGAAATGTCTGCTGCAGCTGATTTTGGGGCCAGTATGCCGGCATTTTTTTTCCAAATCCGCGCACCCTGAGATCCTGGCGAACAACGGGAGACGTGCACAGTTACCGCTGCTGCCGGTATGTGAACAACTTCTCACACTGAAGCTAAAGATGAACCGGCTCCGTGCTTGCTGATTTTGTTGGGGGTTTTTTTTCCTCCTTCTTCTTTCTCCATCGCTGTTGCATCAATTGGATGCTGCGTGAAGCCGCTTGGTGATGATGCATTGGTGGGGTTTGAGTGTCTTTACCCCCGATCTGACTTTTCTCCTCGGCGATGTAAATTCGAGCTATTGAGCCCGATTTTTTTTTTTTTTTTTTTTTTTTTTTTTTTTACCCTTTTGCTCACCCACCTTGCGACAGTAAAATAAAAGGTGGGGGAGAAATATGAGTGATTTCGACGCGAGGTGTGAGGATGCCTGTAGCTGTGGTTGTGTCATTGCTGCGGCACGTTCCGGAGCTCCTCAGCTCAAGACAGTCTCAACAAACCTCAGCTGAAGAGAAAACAGCAAGCTGGCAAGTGCTTTATCACCCTACATAAGCCATACAGAGCCCGTGCATGTTATGTCGGACGAAGCCACTCTCCTGGGAGGGCATCTATTGCACTGAGATTTTATTGGGGTGGGAGGGTGGGGGGGCTTCCCAAGAACTGCCACATCCCCAAATTCGTCTGAGGACTGCTGCGAGCACACAAGCTCCCTGATGATTTTTGGAGGGCAGCCCTGATGCATCGTGTGAGTGTGAAAACTCCGAGAGCCTTTTTGCCAGGTTTGCATCACCAGACAGGAGACTGAGCAGACGGTAACTCTGTGTGTGTCATGTTTAGAGGCTGGACTCTCGCCTGCTCCCTCCAACTCTGAGCCAAAATCTTTGACCTGCCCTGTCTGAGCCCTTTTGTATGAGCATCACGGCGCTGCCACAACAGCACGACGGGAAACGGTGTCGAGCAGCACCAACAGTTTGTAGACATTGCTGTTTGTGTGACTCCTTGTTTAAAAGACAAAAACACAAACCCAACCCTATACTCAGACTCTCAGAATAAGAGACACAGACATCAGCTGCCAGGATGCAGGTGTCTTTTGCATGCACTGAGCACAACCTCAAAAGTCGCAGCGAGGACCGGCTTTGTGGCCTTCGCACCGCTCCACCTCCTGGAGGGAGCAGTGGCGGAGTAGGGGGAGGTGGTGGCGGTGGAGGAGGAGGTGGAGGAGGAAGTGGAGGTGGTGGTGGTGGTGGAGGAGGAAGCGGCGGTGGAAGCAGTGGACAAGGGAGCAATGGCAACTACATGTCTCAAGGTTCTGTCAAGACCAGAGAGGGTTCCGGGTCTCGTCAGACTCCTCAGGGTCACGCCCACATGAAGGAGGCTATTGGGCGCCACACCAATATGAAGTACAGGTGAGTATGAGCCTGACTGGGGGAGACGAGGAGCCGGAGCTTTATTGGTTGGCGAGATGGCTTTTATTTCGCTCTGATCACTGTGGCCTTTTGACCTCCACCAGAGGTGAAAGTCCTCCACCAGAAACAAGGTGTTGGGCTCTGGGTTTGGGCCTCTTCTTCACAATGAGGCTCTACCTGCCTTGCCGGGCCTTCATTATTCCTAGTTCTGCCAGTCTCTTTGCTGAGATGTGAGGTGAATTCGAGGTTAGCTTGTCACCAAACATATCACTAGTGAGCAGACTGTGCAGACTGCCTACATACCCATTAGCCAGATGAGAAACACCTCAGTGAGAGCAATGACTTCTCTGACATTATAAAAATATGACATTTATGCCTAAAAGCGCTTATGGATATAAATAAAAAAAATGCTTACATAAGTCATACTATATAACCCTAATGCTATCACAATATTTCAGACAGTATGCATATGGGAGCATTAGCCACAGACTTTGCGTTAGCCTCTTTCTCATTTCAGCAGATTAATAATACAAAAAAAAAAAGCTTTCCTCCAATAACAGCTTCTCCTGAAACCACACTAGGACGCCCGGCTTTTCTTAGAGGTTTTAAACACATGTACTTTCATAAAATAGCCTCGCAGGAGACCATCGTATGCACAGAAAATCTCTGCTGCACACACACCAGGTCTGAGTCATAAAGTAGGAAGGAAATCCAACCAGATAAACAACAAGACAAGAATGCAATGTATGTTTTTCCTCTTTTAGTTTGTTGGCAAACTTGTGGTTTACCTTTGATGGATTAGAGCTTGAAGCTAAACAAGGACAGCTGTTCATGCGCAGCTCATGCATGAAGGAGGCTCGTATTTATACATAAACATACATTTTTTAAAAAAGGGGAGGAAAGCACAAAGCATGCACTTTAACATTAGGCTGCAGACTTCCACAGGCTCACACCGTGTTTCCATCTTTGGGCTGTAAAATTCGAGAACTAGGAGGAGAGTTTTAACGACCTGCTTTCTTGGTAATCAGGTTGATTGAATTGCTGCCATTCTCTTCAGTCAATTTAGTTTCCACTTAATAAGATGCTTAAAAAGGGAATAAGGCACACGACAAAACTAGGATATTTCCACTCCTATTTTTTTTCCCTTTAGAATCACACACATACAGGACTTTATGATTGGGCTGGATTTTTCCGGTTGTTCTGCCGTCTCTAGAAAAGTGTCACTAATAGGGAGTGCAGCAGCACAATAAGTCTATACAGCATATGGCCACTTCCAGTTGCCATTGGCAACACCCCAGGCATTGCCTTTAGTTTTTGTCTTATTTTCTAATCAGCCAGCACTGCTGTCGCTTATCAGTCCTTTCCTTAACTGAGTATGCTCAAAGCTCCACCACCTGCACCACAACAGTCTGGTTGTGGCGGCGTCGTGGTGGCCGCACATTCCTCATTTCTCACCGTTGTTACAATTACACAGAGGTCAGGAAGGAAGCAGGCTTCTGCCTTCACTCTAAACCACCCGTGAACTATATAGATATATAGAAAAGTGGGCCATGGCCACTGTGGTGTCATCCACTGGTTTGTGGAGCTGGTTTGACCATGTTTGGATGAATGGCTGGAATACAAAGGTGTGTCGAGAGACTGTGTAACTGCATCGGGTAGAAACAGATATCTGCTAATTATTGCCAAGTAACATAGAAATCGAATAAAAGAATATTACTCTGCAAAAAACACCAGAGCACAGATCTCTTGTTTGTGTCATTAACCACACAGTGAGCCCTGTGACTTATCAGATGATTGCATTAAAAATGTTCCAGGGGGGCACAAACACACAGAAGAGGTCACGATGGGTGACGAAAAATTTCCCAGCTTCTGCTCAATGGTGATAACGTTGAGTATAAATGAAATTATATTATATTACATTATATATTTAGTTGTCATGATGGTGAAAATGAGTTAAGGAGACCAATGTGCCAGGCTGTAAACATGCCCTATAATGCTGTTTAAACGCAATGGGGGATTGAATCACTCTTGCAGACAGCCTCAAGTGGCTATTTGAGGAACTGCATTTTTTGGCACTCCAGCGCTGGTTTCTATTTCCAGTTCTGGATGCTGCTGCTTGCGTTGACCACATCTTTGTGGCCCTTCTGTCTCATTAACCCAAGTATTGATCACTCACAGGCAGGTCACAGATGCTCAGATTCTTTCTTTGTGGCTCTCTCTATCTTCTTTCTTTGATCTTATTTAAGCTTCTCACCGTTTTCTTTTCAAACGCTGCCCTTTTTTACTCCCTTACAGTGCACTGCAGCATTCTGCTTTGTGTGTGTGTTTGTGTCTGTGTGCGTGTGCGTGTGCAATATGCTGTGTGTTCAGTGTGGCCACAGGGTATGCATTCGAGCTGATGGAGAGGTGACTGTAGCAGTCAGTTCTGTCACTCAGCAAAATGTCTATTTTTAAAGTAACTAAACCTTCTGTTTTCAACACCAAACTGTCCAGATGGCCCAATGTTAAGGTTCCATTTGGCACAATATGCTCAAGTTTGAGAAAATTGAATTAAAAGATATGACAAGATAATGCGCATTTCACAGACAACGCCAAAAATGATTCGACTTTCCTCTGGAATCGCATTTTTGTCATGTTTGCACCTAAATATTTCAAAAGAGAATTTATCTAAAAGCATCATTCACAAAGTTGTCTGCGCAAATTAAAATTCACATGAATTAGAATCAAATATGGTTTATCTGAGCATCGTGAATTTCTTAAAACATTTTTTTGGTATGAGTTTAAAAAAAAAAGAAAAGGGAATTTGATTTACTTTAATACTGGAGAAGACCATAGATCTATCTACCGCTGTTCCTCACAGATGGCCGCGGGGCACGCTGTGTCTGTGGCGGATGCCTATAAATCTTAATGCATGCTTGAGAGATGGAGAATGTGAATAGGGAAGCCCTACTCAGATAAAACATTCAGCACTGACATGCAGTAAACTGTGAAACAAAGTATTATTGTTAAAGAACCAAGATGTGAGAAAATCAAAATAAGTTCAGGACAGCTGGAAAGACATGAAGGAGTTTAGGAGCGATTACCCAAGAATGCTTTTCTACTGTATCTAAAAGAACTCAAGTTAAACTTAAAGACATGTGATTGTGAAGAGTGAGAACAAACTATTGATGACACTCGCACGTGATGTTTGACATCACAGCCAGCAGCTTAGACCAAAGACTGGAGACGAGGAGCTGTTGCTGGTTCCATGAAGAGTCTGTGACCTGATGGGAATTGCTGTGGTGTTTTTGCACTTTGGCTTTTGCAAGGATGAATAAAGTAATAGAGACCTTGTTAATCAATGAGCTTTAAGTTCTGTCACCTTAGGTGCACCAGTTGACCTCTATCATCTGCTTTGGTGCAAAGCAACCGCTCTCTGTTAGTGATGTGGCTGTACTCGTGCTACAGATCAAAATCTTTAAGCTCTACAAAAGTTCCCTGATTTCAGATTATTTTGCCAAACTAATTTATTTCCAAGCTGTTTCTACATTTTTAAACATTTAGGATATGCTGCTCCAGTTAAAGCAGACGACAAACAAAAACCTCAGCTGTACCATAAAGAGAAAAACAAGAAAAAGAAGATGTAGTGTTCATAATAATACCTGATACTGGGTTGCATGTTAAACTGGAGAACAAAGCCTTCATGTATTTTCATGAGGATTTGAAGTGTTCTGACATTCAGCCATGCAGAGAGGTGCCGTTGTCTGGAGGAGCGGAAGGTGGAAATCTCAGTAGCGTAGTCGCAGCAGCTGAAGCTTTGGCGTCGAGCGGCCCTGTCGACTTTTAACACGCATCTCATGCTCATTTAGTGCTGCGAGACGGTGACCTATCCTGAGTGTTATTACTCTCGCCGCGTGCCTCTTCTTAGCATTCAGATTCTTATCTCGCCCGCTTTTATGCGCTCTGACGGCACAGCGGCGTCACCGGCTCGCTTTGTTAATTTCACTCCGCGCGCCGTTCACACGCGTGGCACCGAAGGCAAAGCGAAGTGTAACAAATCCCCAGCAGCGACTAAAATATTCATCGTAACCGGCAGGTGAAGCGATAATGTAGTGATTTTGACCTCACGCTGTTGTCATGATTAACCACGCAAAATAAATGGCCTGTGTGGCAGGGAGGAGAACACGACTGCGGGCTCCAAAAACCTTGACCTTCAGCTCTCCTCTCTGTCGCTCTGGGACATTTATTTATTTATTTGTTTATTTATTTTCAGGAGAGGTTCCAGTTGACTGGGCAGATTAGTGACTCACTTTGAGGTCTGGGAAGTTTTAGGCAAAGTAACGCCGGGTGTTCACTTGCTTGATTTCAACCAAAATATAATCCAAACCATGATCTGTTTACTGACTGCTAAACTGTGGCTGCTTATTTTCATCTGCCACCCACTACTACAGCACGCTGTACGGTGCTTAATGTTATAATTACTGCATATATCATGTCTGAACAATATCTAGGCTGTTATTATGTGTGCAGCTGCTTGTTGGGACTTGATTAAGTGTATGCAGCGGGCAACTTAATCCTCTCAAAATGCAAAGTGACCTGCGTGTCAGTGTTGTTTGATGAAGCTCAGAGTTGTCAATAATTGACTGCATTTGGCGGCTTACTCTTAACTGAGAGGCATCGTAATCGCGGCCAGAAAATCCACATCACGTCCTCGGAGTAAGGCTGTCTCATCAAAGTCAAAGACTGGTATTGTCTTCTGGCAGAGCCATCATGGCCGCATGTTGTTATTATGTAAGAGCAGAGGGCAGCCTAATGAACAAGTGTCCGCATGCTCTGGAAAAGACTCAAAAGGCATTTAATTAGATGATATCAATTCCTCCTTCTTCTTTTAAAATCTTACTTTTATTTGAAACTCTTTTCAGTGTTATAATATATTCATTTATTTAAATAAATCTTGGTAGCATTCATTTGCCTGCCGTGTAATACACTGCAAAATTCATTAAGGCAAAGTAGTTGAGCTGTTTTAAATCACAGGGAAACAGGGACGCCAAAGAAAACCGGAGGACGGCGCGATACTCAAAAACATGCTCGCGATTGCATTCAATCACTTTGAATTCACTGCGCTGTCACTCACGGGGGCATGAGATCCGGAAAGCGCCACATCCCTCAAATACTCGTCTTTATCCGTCTGCCAGCGGACACGAAACAGAGGCAGAGTGCAGCGACCTTCTCAGCGAGCGAATTTCATTAACATTTGATTACATGTTGGGGCGAGTGAACATTTTTTGGGTTTTTTTTTTTTTTGTCGCAGGTCACGTGTGTTCCCAAACTTGGAATAAACAGTAATGACGGCGCATTGTGTCAAATTCAGCTTGTGTGAGCTCTTTCCTGCACCACTTCATTACATGCATTTTTAGTTAACGGGAGAGTCAGGACCACTAATAAAGTGTCAGCAGCTGATACGCAGAATTGGAGGAGAGCAGCTGAGATTGTGCGTGTGCGTGTGTGTGTCTTTGTGCCCTTTTTTCTCCATTCGCTCCCTGCACAGCATGAGTAATTTATAATTAGGACAGACCTGATTTCCTAACTGTTTTAATATAGCTGAATTTAAAAAATCACATTTACATGAAGGGTCCATTGTTTAGGCTAATGCTTTTAAAAATAGCTACATCGATAATTAGTACACTCTTAGATGCTGTGGTTTTGATTAGTGCCAGGCCATGTGGCTAATTTGGTGGCATTTGTCATATAAATCAAAAATGTAGCTCTGTTGGCATGTCTCTGGATTATTGAGAATGACAAGCAAAGCAAAAGTTTGTGGTGGCGTTTTTTTTAGTGCCATAACTTCTGCCCACTGCATTGATTGCATTTAGGTAGAAGCAGGCACAGGTGAGAAAAATCTGTTCTCTGTAATTTGGGTGAAGTGACCCTTTAAAGCCACAAAAACAGTGTGTGCAGCATTACTGAAAGAGAACAGACAGTCCACCATCTTCCCACACTCTGTGCTCAGAAAATGTGTGTCTAAGCATACACATAAAACTGACGTGAGTGTTATTAATATCTAGGTCTTCCCTCTGGAGAAGAGCCTGCTCAGCATGTGTGTGGCATTTTATGACAACTGCAGAGGGAAGGGGGAGAAAAAAAAAGTCCACCATTAGCACCTAACCATCTGTATATAGTGTCTTCCTCCTGTCTCAGGTGAAAACTAACTGTGAATGTCAGCACAGGTTAAAATGCTGACTAAACCGTGACGGAGCACCTGTGTGTCTCCTCTGTCTCTCTCTCTCCAGCGTTAATAATGTATGGACGAGGCAGCCAAGTTGCTACAATCATCTCGTTTGGAGATCATGATTTATGGCAATGGAAAAAATAGAGAAGAAAACACTGGAAGGCCTATTTATGAAGGCTATAGAGAAGCATCTGTGTGCCCTGCTCAAGAGTGCATTCATGCATGTCTGCATGTGGAACTGTGCCTGCGTTCCAATGCAATTCCCATCAAGCGTGAATATTCACGTGAAAGCATCGAACCCCTCCCCATAATGACACATGCACAGCATAGATGTTTTCCGTTTATTGCACAGCGTCCCTCACATCCGCCTCAGATGAAATATAGGCCGAGTGTCTGGGTGTACTGCGTGCGGGAGATAGTGGGAAAAGACTGTCAATAGGGAGATAGTGCGAGGAAAGACAGAGCATGTGTTTCTCCAGACTCACTGATAGTAATTTAGCAGACTGCAGCATTGCAGAGAGCGGCGGAGTTGAGCGCAAGGGAGGGGGCGGCCAGTTGTCACACATGGAAACAGTGACATCCTCTATTGCTCAGAAGCACACGCGCACACACAGACTTAAAAATGGGATTTTTATGTGGCTCTGCAATTGTGAAATTCGCCCAGTAATGCACACCGGTTTCAAATTTGCTCCCTGTCATGATGCATTCACAAGCAGCGTTTACCAAACACGAGGCTGTCAGCTTCATGCACTCATCTTTAAAAAGCATATCGGATAGAAGAGCATTTAACAGAAGAAGAAGAAGAAAACATTTGTGTAACAGCCGTATGCCACTGGATGCTTGACACACTCCACCGAATGCTGACTCATGTTTTGGTGGTATGTTTTTTTCCTCACACGTAAGCCTTCTGTTTGCCGTCCTGGTCCAATGTGAAAAGGAAAGTATGGACAGAAGGTGTGTGACTAAGCTGGGGAACAGATTTTTATTGTCCTTAATTCACAGCTCAAAGCCATCACGCATAATTATAATGAGTTTTTCTCAAGTTCCCTAAAAAGAATAATAAAAAAGAAGGTAATAAACAAAAATAAAGTTGGGTATAAACCATATCGTTTATTTGCTCCCGGTGTGCAGATACAGAAGTTACCTCAAAAGCAATTTTGAATCAGTTTCAAGCTTTGCTTTAGAAGCTGATTAAAACTGTAGGGAATATTTTTTTCCGGATGCTGTTATTGGCCCCACCTTGTCAAATGTTGCTTGACAAAAAATAAATAAAATCCCCTTTATTCTCATCCAAATAAAGTTGAGACAAAAAAGGACTGATTTGATGGATACTACAAAAAAAGCAAAGCCAACAAAAATGAACAAAAAAAAATGGTAAAATATTCAGGTAGCTCATTTGAAATAACCCAGTCTCTGAAATATGTTTTTCCCATGTGCCTCATTTAAATTTACTCCCAGTGTTCAAAGTGGCTGTCAGCGTGAGAGAACAGGCAGAGCTGTCATTGGTTGACGAACCACGAAGAAAAGCCAGCTTACCATACAAGGAATCAGCTACCCCGCAGACACATTTCCCTTTAAATAGCTTTCCTGACCTTCCACCTGTGTGCTTTTTTAACAGTTTAACGTAATGACACAAACAATATGTATTTCACACCCACATGGAGTGCTCACATAAAGACTGATGCCCCCACTACACACACACACACACATAAAGAGCATGAAACAAATGCTTGCATATGCAGGAATCTAAAAATAGCATAAGGTTGGGAATAGAAAATAGACCAGGAAAATAAAAGCGGGACTTGTTCGACTGAGTCTAAATGCTGTGACAGTCTGTCTTTGTGCATTTGGCTGTTTTGCGGTGGACGCAGGCAGACAAGCTGAGAGGGGAGAGGCGCTGGAGATGAAAAGACGGCGAGCAGCGAGGTGCACTGCAGTTCTGCCGGCTCTCCAGCTGGCTCCCCGGCTAATTAGAATGGGGGAGAGCACACAGGAGAGCAAAGCATGAAGCCCACATCATTTTCAGCTGTACATGCTCCTGTGGTCAGAAATGCAGCTCTCTGCTTCTCCCCCGTCTGCCCTTCAAAATTCAGCTGTCTGAATAATCAGATGTGGCATGTCGGTTAATGGACTCCTCTTTAGCTCACAGAGCATTTTTGAGCCATTTATGGTGCAGACCAAAGAAGCTTTTGCCGGGACTCTCTAACTGCGCTGAGCTCCGTCCCCTCCAGGTGTTTCACTGGCCCACTGTAATACACTGAACTGCTAACATACGAGGGATGAAAGGTCAATTGTTCAGAAATAATTAGACAGAGGAAGTCATTTTACCAGAGGCGAGAAAGACTTTCACTCGGCAGCTGCAGTGGAGGAGTGAAGTGTCGGAGACTACGACAGAAATAAATTACATCTGTGTCAGGTTTTCAATTTTGTGTCGTACTTTTGTTTTACATGTGACACCAGGTTTGTGTTACATGCTGCTACAGAATAATCAGGATCTCATCAACAACGTCGCCATATTAAGACGACGTTTAGCTTTCAAATCCTAATGTGTCCAGTAAAGCAGTGAGCCAGCTCCCTCATAGACGTGAATAAATAGTTTATAACGCTGTAATGTAGTTGTGAGTGGATGTGATTATTAATAAACCGAAACTACTTCAGATGGCTCGGAGGCTTGGGTAGAAACAAATAAGACAAAATGTGTGTTAAATACAGTGTAACATTGCAGCTGCCATCTTTTTTAAACTCCACTTAGAGATACAAGTAGCTCGAAAGGCTGCAGTTCTTAGTCTCATCACTGCTTAACCACAGTGTCTCCCTACTGAGGATTGCTCATCACTCACATGCGTACATCTTACTTACTGTGTTTGAAGATTGTATGTCCAGATATATTCCAACTGCCCACACATTTTGTGTGTGTGTGTGCGCTTTACAGGCATTTCTCATCTAACCTCCTGATTTTTTTCCCTTTCTATAGGAACCTGGGAAAATCGGGCCTACGTGTTTCCTGTCTGGGGTTAGGTAAGTTGGGATGAAGGCAGGGAAATATTCAACTCAGCTTCAAACTCTTAAATAAAATCCGTCTGTCTGTCTCTCCCTCCCTCTCCTTGTTCAGGCACCTGGGTGACATTTGGATCGCAGATCTCTGATGAAGTGAGCATTCTCTCTCTCTGTGTTTGTATGAGAAATCGATTCCCGCACACCTTCACTCGTTTGGTTTTTTGTGTAACACCGTTCGGCGCACTGTAAACAAATCTCAGTGTTCACGATCGCAGGAATATGTGTGACAGGCCTTAAGACTGCTGTAGCTTGGCGAGATATTGTCTGTATTATCCTCCCTGAGTAGTGCCCTTCATGAACGACCTCTGGGTAATTGGAATTTATCCGCCGTCTGCTTCTCTCAGTCTCAGTTTTTGTGTTCTCTCAGATGGCAGAGAACCTGATGACCGTAGCTTATGAGAACGGAGTGAACCTGTTTGACACAGCGGAGGTGTACGCCTCTGGAAGGTCAGACTTCACTTTCCTCTCCTGAGCCTCAATTAAACTTTTTCTTTTTAAATCGTCTGATTTCTCTCACAGCAAATACAAAAATTTAAACCTGTTTTTATGTGACGTCGTCTTTTATTGTCTGCCGTCTTCCATTCTTCTTCTTTACATTAATCTTGTTTTCTTTGGTCTGCGTGTCTTTATCAACTCTCTCGTTAAACGTTACAAACAAATAAAGTTCATTAGCCTCAGCCCGTCACAACCAATGATGTGTTTCTCCACAGGGCGGAAATTACTCTAGGGAACATTATCAAGAAGAAAGGTTGGAGGTGAGATTACTCATTCTTCCGAACTGACTCACAGGCATGCAAACCTTTTTAACTCGACCAGATCACAGATTTACTTTAAATAATCCCTAATAATCCCTTCCTGAGATGAAATGCATTACTACATGTTTTTATTACTTTTGATAGCGGCACACCATTAAATTCTCTCAAGGGAAAGCCATACTTGGGGGGAAAAAATGTAGAGCTTTATCCTCAGAGAGACTAAAAAGGATAAAAATGTTAAATTCCCTGATCAGAGATGGTGGCTGACTCACCCAGCTGCCTAAGAGGCACATATTGGTAATAAAATGTTTTAATTTTAACACCAGAAAGAGAAAAAGACTGTCCGTACTATTAGATTTAGGATGAGCTGATTCCCTTAACTTAAATGTTATGCTGCAATCAAAATACTCACGACTTCTGTCCTTGCCAGACGTTCCAGTTTTGTCATTACGACAAAAATCTACTGGGGAGGCCAGTAAGTATAAGACTAAAACACTAGACTCTTCACATTTCTTCAACCCAGCTTCTTTCCATTCATTATTTTAAATGAAGATCAATGATTTGTATTTTCATAACTTCACAGGGCAGAGACAGAGAGAGGACTCTCCAGAAAGCACATTATTGAAGGTACAGTCTGCTCATGTATTTGCAAAGTGTAAACCAAATAAGGGGTTATTCTGGTCCAGTTGAAAGCAATTTAAATAAATTTCAGTTCAGTTATATTTATAGAAAATTCAACAGCTCACACATCAGTTGCCTTAGGGCATTTTATTTTGTAAGTTAAATGCCCTACAATAATACTGAGAAGACGAACAGAGCAAGTGCTTTGGCGACAGTGGGAAGGAAAAACTACCATTTAACAGGAAGAAACTTTCAGCAGAAACAGACTCAGGGAGGGACAGCCATCTGCCAAGACTGGTTGTAGTCACAAAGGGAAAAATTTGCTTAGAGACCAAACATATTTTTTTATAAGAGACTATAAACGAGTTTATTTTTGCTCTGAAGTTGGACATTTTAACACAGGAGTCTATGGGGATTAGCTCGTTTATGGAGCCAGCCTCAAGTTGCCATTAGAGGAACTGCAGTTTGTAGCACTTCTGCGTTAGCTTTAGGCTTATTATACATTAAAGACTATAAATGAAAGCCTTGCTTCATTAGGTTGCACTGCATCTTTATTTTGTATGGCATGTTTTCCTGTGTGTTACTTCAACCACTAATTATGTGGTTGCTATCATTCATTCGAAGCCTTTACCTTTTAGTGTGAGCGTTGTTTGACTCACTCAGTCAGCTCCTTACACGTCACAGTAAGCACAACTTCATTTTTAACTGTGATGTCAGTGGACACTATTGGGATATGAGGTGCATTCACTTTGAAGCTATATCGCTTTAAGTGCAGATGTTGATGGGTAGGATGTTTCAGAGGCCTTTTATCAGATTTGTTAGGTCAAAGTAAATACAGAGGTCAGGTGAAGGTACATGTTTTGATTGCTGTTTTTCAGCCATTTCATCGGTTCCAAAAATAATCCTAAAAAAAAGCTAAAGGATGTGGTGGTGGTCTTTGTTCCTTTTGTAAGCAGCACGGCCGCAGGATGACCATTTACCTTGGACTTGAATGACTTTTTTTATGTCATTGTCATGAAGCTTTTGATTTGGGGTCGTTGCATAATGAGTGAACTACATGCAGCTCTTAAGGCTTGCACCGCGCGCAGGGACAACGCTCAGATTTCGACTCTATGCACTATTTTTTACTTTGCTCAGGAAAAAAAAGTCCAACTGCTGACTTACCCAAGGTTAGACGCTTGCCCAGAACATTTGAGAAGCAGAAAATCGAACATAAAACAGAATCACTCATTTTACCCTCCACCAGCACACTGTATTGAGGATAAACATTAATATCTTGAGAGGAGCTGAATGCTATTTTGATGCCATGTAAACTTAAAATGTAAAAAATAAATCCCTTTATGATCTGATCTGGCCTTAGGCACCAGCATGAAGTTCGTATTTATAGATCTACTGGATGAAACTCCATGAAATTCCAAACACACACTCATGTCTCAATCAGGAAAAAAATGTAATAACTTTGGTCCTTCCCTTACGCTTCATTGAGCATGATTACCAGGTCAATATAATGCAGCCTGATACTTTGGTTTATTGCCAAATAACTGCAAAGCTATTGACACTGTAATTAGACTCTCTGTTGTGTAGCGGTGGCTCAAAACATCACTGTGCCTTAAAGTTATGACTCTTAGTCCAATAATTGACTCGTGTTTATCACAGGTTTACGAGGATCCCTATCAAGACTCCAGCTAGATTATGTGGACATCGTTTTTGCCAACAGAAATGATGTCAACAGTCCGATGGAAGGTCAGTTTGAACCGCTTATTATTGTTGTAGCACAACTATGGAGGGTTTTTATGTGGTAGTATGTTTTATTTGTGGAAATAAGCTTCAATCAGATGCGTTAGAGTTGTCAAATGAATGTAATTTAAGTGAGATGTCGTGTGCTGTGATTTGCAGAGATTGTACGGGCCATGACGTTTGTAATAAACCAGGGTATGGCTATGTACTGGGGAACCTCGCGCTGGAGCGCAATGGAAATCATGGTGCTGAGCTCTCACTCTTAAAGTCTTACTCTTCACAAATTCACGAGTGTCAGCTTTTTTTCCAGATAACGCTGATCACTTACCATTGCATTGTGTTTCCATTTCTGCGGCACCAGGAGGCATACTCAGTGGCACGCCAGTTCAACCTGATACCACCTGTGTGCGAGCAGGCAGAGTATCACTATTTCCAGAGGGACAAAGTGGAAGTGCAGCTTCCTGAACTCTACCACAAGATCGGTAAGGCATCCAAAAATCCCACAGCAACATTTATCTCTTCTTTTTAATTAAGTTTCATTAGTTTCATTCACACTTTCCTCGCTCTGTCAGGTGTTGGAGCGATGACCTGGTCTCCGCTCGCTTGTGGTTTAATCACAGGCAAGTACAGTGATGGTGTACCGGAGTGCTCCAGAGCAGCAATGAAGGTCAGTTTGATCTTCCACTTCTTCTGGCTCCACATCAGCCTCACTATAGTTCTTGATTTTGTCGGCATACAGTGTGAATCAGTGCCGCATCAGTGATTTTCTCCATGTTGGTCCTGATGAAGGGGTACCAGTGGCTGAAGGAGCGAGTGAACAGCGAGGAGGGTCGGAGGCAGCTGGCTAAAATCAAGGAGCTCCATCTACTGGCAGACAGACTGGGCTGCACTGCTGCACAGTTAGCCATCGGTATGATCCGAGCAAACGGCCTTATTTTTTTAGTGCATACATACAGAGATGCAGCTTTGCTTGTTTTCGCATCATGTGACTGCAGATTGAGGCTGAATCGATTCATATTTGCATGATTTTCACTCCTTAAATGATTGATTCATTATGTTTAATCTTACTGTACACACGCAGGTAGGAAGTGCTGTAACGGTTCTGGGAGAAGTGTAGAAAATCTATGTCTCCTGCATGAAAATAACATTACATAATCTGTGATCTTGTTAATTAAGTGCTTTGTATATGTATGGCCTCATTAAGGCTTTCAAATGAAATCCAGCCACTGGTTAAATCTGTTAACATTTATTTTAAAAGAAGTCTAAAAAATCAGCTACTTTACTTCGGTTACAAAGTGATATTCCTCCAGCGATAAAGTTTTCCTGGTTTGCTCTTTTTACAGCCTGGTGTCTGCGCAGTGAGGGAGTCAGCTCAGTACTTCTGGGTGTTTCTAATACAGACCAGCTTCTTGAGAATCTGGGTGCCCTCCGGGTAAATATGTGCTGTATTCAAATATGCTTTTGTGTTTTGTGCGCAATAAAAAGAACCACCCAAAAAACAGCAGATGACACTTTAAGCTGATGCCATCCTCCCCTTCTTTCAGATTTTATCTCAAATGACCCCTCAAACCGTTACTGAGATGGACGCCCTGCTGGGAAACAAGCCACACTCGAAGAAAGAGTCACGCGCTTGAAGATTCAAATTTCAGCGACGATGTTCCGAGAAGATGAAGAAGACTTTGATATTGGGGAAACATCGCTTTTTGCTCTGCTGTATACTCAACAACTTGCATGTCCTCGGCAACATTTATGCTTCCAGTATGTGCGCATATCCATTCTGCGCAGTACATTATATCATGCAGAAGAAAAAAAAAAGGAAAAAAGAAAAAGAGAACTCTCTCAATTGTGGAAGAAAAAAAAAACATAATCGATCATATATTGCTCACTGTTGATTGTTCACAGACTAATTATTTCAACATAGAGGAAGGCTAAAGCTGGTCAATCAAATGTCAATCCTAAAATGAGGAAAGAAAGAAAAAAAAAGGCCACCTCTGCCCTAACATGCAACTTTACTGCGTGAACGGTGCTTTCATTAGACGTGTGAGTCTCCTCCCCTCACAGCTGCCTGTTATTCTGTATGATGTTTAGTACCCAGCAGCCAGAGAGCTAAAGGTTAGTCCTCATGTGTCTAACCGAACCTTTCCCGTAGTGTGCATGTGACTGCTCTGCCACACTCACCGCTTTATAGGGTTGGGAACAATGAATTACTTGTGAAGTAATAAAAAAAAAACCCACAGCAAATAAGCCACTCTGGTATTACTTTTTTTTTTTTAATCACGTGATTTAAAAGGAAAAATTGGCAAATGAATTTCAAGTATGAAGGTTACAGAGTTAGAACTGAGTCTGGCAGAAATGTTGAAATAATAATAATAACTTATGTGTGCTGTTACGTTGTCAAATTGGCAATCAGAAATCAAAAGCCAGTGACTTTTCCCAACCCTGCTGCTTTCTCAGCGGTCCGTTTGCCTCCTCTGTGCGCATGTCCCTTTAAGACAGAATAGCCCTAACAGGGTGTAAATGTGGCATGGCTTTTTTTTTTTTTACGGCTTATGTAGATTTGCAGTGCCCTTGTAAGCCATTTATTTATTTATTTTTTAAACTGTCGAAAACGGTCAGATAGTTTTATCCGACATAACCGTCCTGATGGGCACGCTCGCTTTAAAGGCTCCCAGCAGTCTGCGGACACGGCTTGTGTGTCCATGTTGCATATAATCTTTGCATCGTCCTAAACTATGTCAAAAGATGCTGACATCACTTTCAGCGGTGCCGAGTTGCTGATCTCGAGTCGCAGGTCTGAGACGGCTGGACTGAGTGGAAAGGTTGCTGGGTGTCTGACACAAAGATTGGGACATATTGTGGTGAACGTTAAGTTTTCAAAAAGATGGTAAATAAAAACAATACGTGTGAGTTTATCAAATGTGATACGAGTCTTACCACAGACCACTTAGGGTAAGATTTCGATTAATGTTAACTTTTCTTTTTGTTTGTGGAAGCCCGAAAACACAGCTTCTCTGCTCATTTCTCTCTCTGCATCGTTCCAAATTCGTTCCCATTCTCAAACACATGCACGACAGATTTTATACTGTGCACTTTGTCTTTTTCCCTTTAGTTTTGTAATGACTTCAATACTTTGTAATGTGAAGGGGGGTGTCTTTTGTTTTGTTTTTCTCTTTTTTTTGTGATTTGCCATGAAAACTAATCTCCGAGGTGGCGTTTTTTGATACACCGGAGTTGTTTCAGCAGACGCGAGGTTGCAATATATTGTAAATAGGCTCGTGTGTTTTGACGGTGACGTAACAAGAGAAAGTTCAAGTCTGTGGTTCATGACGGTTTTCTTAAATGAGCCGCTGAAACGTGGCTCTCTGTGAGTCTGTCATGATGTACAGTTCGACTGAGCGTAGCTTCCTGTGTACATAGGTCCTTCAATCAAACCTTGAAAATGTAACTTTGCCTGCTTAACTTATATTTTACTGTCTTGCAACAAAGAGAAACCAAAACACAAACAAAAAATAATAATAAGAGAAGAGACAACTGATTCTGAATGTATCATGTCTGTTGCTCAAACCTACTTAAGGGACAAAGCACATACCCTGTTCCATGAAGTCCAGTGGTTTTTGAACCTGCAAACGTGCAAACATTTACATTGGGATTAGCCAACTCAAGCTTCTTGCACCCCCTTCTTTCAGCTGTTAATAGAAAGTCCGATGAGATTTTTGTATTTCCAAAACCCGGAGTAGTCTAATCACAGGTGTGACGCTAAATCCCCCAACTGCTAGCTACTCTTCCACGTTCATTTTTGGACCACCCTTTATTTGTGTACATGTGCGATGCAATTTTACGAGTTGCATATGAGGCGGCATATGGGCCGCGAGCACTAGGATTAGTCACAACCTTCATTCTCGCATATCATGTGCTCCCTTGATGGGTTTTAGCTTCCTTATGTACACTTTGATGATCAACACAATGTTGATGGACATACTTAGATGACTAAGACACTTAAACCTGTAATTGCTTCAGATTTTTGTTTTATTTTGTTCGACATTTTTATGCAGATAGAAAAAATAAAGCAGCTTTCAGCTACATATTTTTATTTTTATTTTATTTGTGGTTAAGCAGTGACTGGCAGAGGAATGTTCTTAACTAAAGTCAACAGAAGCCAGCAGATAACACTGAGTGCATAATGCATACCTGCAAAGCTAGTTTGTTCCTTCCATTTGAGGTTAGCCTGCACTTTTGTATTGCTGCTGATATAACAGAGCCTCTGTGTTGCACCAAAACAGCACGAGTTGACCGAGCGTGGCGACGGGTGCTGACCGTGGAAATAGTGATTTTTTTTGTGTGTGTGAAAAGGCTCAGGGAGATGTGTTGTTTCAGAGAAATTCGAAATCTCCTCACCAAAGCGTAAAAAACTTTGATTATTCATGGTCAGACTGTTCTTTCTCAGAGGGGGGAAAACGTCTCTCTGTGAAATCTGGCATTAAGGACTGTTTGTGCTTATGTGGATTTATACTAATCAGCTCCTTCTTTTCCTTAGCGCTTTTTGTTCGGGTGAAGAAACGCAATGAGTTGATCAAACTTTTCCTTTTCTTGTACGTTGACGATGGTGACGTTTGTGACAGGCAGCTTTGTTGCGTGCAATAACAGACTATATTTGTAACAAAGGTCCACATCTGATTGATCACTGTGCAAGCGCTGGCTTACAGTATGAGCCCCACAAATATTCAGCTGCACATCCAAAGGAGTCAAATTTGCACATTGTAGTGTTATTGTACAATTACATTTGGGGGTTTGGTTATCACTAAATCGCAGGTGGATTTAAAACACTAAAAAGCTCACAAGTTCAAGAAAGGTGCGAGTTAAGAAGCCTTGCATTTATTTCCCTGCTTACATCCTGTTAAATGTGTGCCAGCTCTTCACCCCTGACTCTTTCAGATGGATGGTACGAGAACAATAACTCAGCCGTGTGTCCGGCGCTCTGTGCCGTGTCCGCTGGGACGCCACACATGTTTACAGCGAGCAGAAAACATCTGTGACGCCAGCACCGGTAGGCTTTCTCTTACTGGATTCCCAGGTGCCCTCGGAGCGACAGATGAAACACATGTGCTGAAATATATTGACGTCCTCACCGCCAACACAGAAGGAGAAGGAAACAGGTTTTGCCACGTGATTCATCCTCTGTGCGGTGAAACAAGTTGGGGATAAGGTTATAAAGAAAGAAGAAAAAACAGAGAGAAAGATGCTCAGAAGCACATTGGAGATCTACAAGCCCCCACATCTAATAAAGCACATTTCATAACTTACCCAGATGCTGTTGTTTTGGTCCTACAGTGAGCCGATTATATTAGAGGTCAGACCCGGTGATGAAATCCCAGGTAACCTGTAGCTGCTGCTGTGTTGACTAAAATCCTAATACAAATGTAATAATGCAGTGGAGCAAAGCAACCCATGTCAGCACGAGCTCAGCACTCGTGCACCGACTACATTTACTGCATTTGTGTCAATAAAGAGCCTGAAATCCTTCAGCCTCCATCAGAGTGCTGAGAATGAGCCCAGCTCAGTGTTTCTCGTAAGGCTCGCCTCTGCAGCCAAATCCTCATGAAGGTTATTGCTCTGTGTTACAGACCACTGGGTGATATCTCTTTGTTACAATAAGGATGGCTTCCTACTTAGCACAGCATGAAAATGTGCAACAATCTGCTGCTTAAAATATTCAGAAAGAAGAACTACGCTGTTTGAAGTAGAAACATTTGATAATACTACAGTGCCCTGCAGTATCTAAGACATAAAATCCTTTTTGTTCTTATTAATTTAGGGACCGTTTTTAAATATTTGTTTTACACAGACACCATATGGAAGTCAGAAACAGGAAGACAAGCTAAAATAATGTTGATTTGGGTCTTTGCTGATAATTCGAACACTTTGTAGTTATTGCAGTGGGCTCGCCAAGACAAGGACAGGACAGTGCCGCTGTGCGTTTCACGTGCACTTATTCCAATAGAATAACCTCCTTCGCACATTTCAAAAAGAGCCCATGCAGATCGTTTGCTTCAAGGACACATACAACCCTCATTCTCCTAATGTATGCTGTCTCCACTGTGCCAAGCCAGTTAAATCTCGACTCCTTTAATCTGACCTCACCTGCTACCATACAATAAATGGATAAATGGATGAATATGACTAAGCTACAGTGGACCTCCTTTCAGGTCATGCAAGTGCGCATATATATATATATATATGTGTGTGTGTGTGTGTGTGTGTGTATATATGTGTGTATATATATATATATACTCCCATATAGGTATAAATTTATTATTTAGGAAAGTTGGGAGGGTGGAGGGGGAAATAAAGAGCTCCCGCTTGTCCTTAATTCCTCCCCCTCTGTTTGCACATCTGCTGAATCACATTAAACTCCCCACAGGCCGCTTCACAACAGAAGTCCTCGACATCATTTCAGCGAGCTGGAGCCCTTCAGCCTCTGTTTGCTGCCATGGGAATGCATCTGAAGTGTTTTTTTTATAACTGCTTAAAAAAAAACCACGCACACAACCATCTCTTTTACTTTTCTTGCTCTGAGTCAGCTTTTACAAGCTCTTCAATTACTTTACATTGTCACAAGGAAAAAAAGAGAAAAAAAGGAAGCCAGGCGATCACAGGTTACCTTTATTTTACTAAAATACACGTTTCATGCAGGTTTTTTTTTTTTGTCACTTTTCACAACAGAAACACAACTAAACTAATGCCACCTCGGGGCTTCTTTTTCTGAATGTTTTTTTCTTGTCTGCCGCACAACAACAGGCAAAGAGGGACATTAAAGTCACACGGTACAATATTCCGCATGTGCAAATTCCTAGTGGCTTCATAAATAGCGAGTCCTCATCTGATGTCACATGCCGTCATTAGCGAACCAATAGCGAGCCAGTCGTATCTGGTCATAGCGACGCACTTTACGCTGGGAAAAGAAAGTCATGCTCAATGCGCCGGAAATCAACAATAACGGAGTGCTGTATTGCTTTTGAAAATTAATGTCATAAAAAAATATGTGTGCGGTCAAAAGTAGCCTTAATCTATCACATGTTTTAAAAACAACAACCAAGAAAAACTTAGATGAAGTTGGTCAGCTGGATGCATCTTTTCCCTCCAGTTTTATTGCCACCTTTATGGCACCGACTGTGACCCTGCAGGGGGGGGGAGCACTGACAGGCCATGTTCCAAACAGTGGAGAAGAAGGCAAACGTGAATCAGAGCACATGACGTGTAAAAAAGGAGAGACTGAGCATGGAGGAAACTCTTTCCAAGGCCTGCTATGATCTTTGTATGAAAATAAAAAGAGGTAGGCAAATTGTCTCTGCTGCTCAGAAAACACTGGCAGTTTAATAAGATGCAAACGGGGATGAAGTGCTTATCAAACATGCTACACGCAAAGCCAGTTTTTTTTCCTCTAAGTGACAGTCCAGCACAGCATGCCTGAAACAAACCACCTAGCCTATTCAGAATAGTGTTCTTCCTTATGCAGCTTGTTGCATATTAATAATATTTAATCTTATAATAACTTTTTTTCTTATGTAAACAAGGAGACAGCGAAACACACGACTCATGCATGCATTATCATCTCCAGAATGTGGAACAATAGTAAACACAGACGGATGTTACTGCACAGCATATTTAGTGGCTTTTTGTTTTGTTTTTCTCTCTATTTTTTTTTTCCTTTTTTTGTTTTTAGGCTGTGGGGGAATGTCAGAGAGCTTCGTTTGCTAACACAGAAATAAAAGCGACCACAGTTAGACCGCTCAACGCTTTTCTTTCCTGCCGCCTGTCTGCATGACATCATTAAGGGAGAACGACACGAAGGCAATCTGCTCGAGTTCACTCTCTTTCCCGCACTCCATCAGGCACGAAAACTGATCCTTGTCCCCGTTGTAAGCCAGGTCCGAGTAGCCGCTGGGCCCCCTGTGGATGATCCTGGGTCTGTCCCATCCGGATGAGTGCAGGGGGGATCGGTTCAAATACACACCCATGTCCCTTCTTCTGGACTTGCTCGTCGGGTGCATGAAGAGGAGCCAGGTTTGCGTGTCTGGTGATAGGAGCGACGTGCCGCAAGCTTTGCTTTCCGCGTCGTCGTTTGGGACAAATTCCGGAGCGGGAAAGCCGATGATGCTTCCCTGACATCCGTAGCGCGTTTCGACCAGCTCCGGGGCCATGTGGGGCTTGTCGAAGTAGACGCCGCTGTTTTCACTGAGAGCCTCACACCTGTGGCCCCCGGCATTACGAGCATTGCAGTAGAGGTGGCTTCTGCCCTCGTGGTCTATGATCTCGGCCATTTCACATTCGCACGACTTCTTCCGCAGCATCTTACCTATGTGCCACGTCTGTCCAAAGTCCTCGCTATATACTGACAGTGCACGTGGGTAGACTGTGCAAGGGATGGGGAAGGAGCAGCATCTGTAAGGAATGTAGTAGGCGTACGCAGGGATGATCAGTCGGCCGTTCTCAAGCTGAACACCGTGGCCGGGGCCCACGGCGAACGTGGCCCACTTGTGAATGGCCTCGCCGATCACGTTGTCAGTTAAGTCTGTCACTTGGCTCCAAGTCTGGCCGTCGTCTCGGCTGCTGACGTAGCAAAGGCGAGTCTTGTTCTTACCTGTCAGGATCTGCTTCGCTTCCGTGGTTGTGCCCCACACACAGATGAAAAACAAATAGAGCGTTTTGGTGTTTTTTTCATACACCGGGCAAGGATTCATAGTGCGGTGGTTTGGCAGGCACACCGAAGACAGCTCCTGACTGGACGACCACTGGAAAACAAAAAACAAAATCCCAGAAACATGACAAAGGCAACATTTGAAAAGAGGACAACAAATCATGTTAACTTCAACTATGAAAATCAAAGTGATCATGTGGCAATGGTAACCTGCATGGATCCATCCTCTTTCAGGGTGCCTCTCCTCATAACGAAAATTTTGGCGTCATTGTCACAGGGTGAGGATCTCTTCTCTGCAAAGGCGAGGAAGGTGTGACAGTGCCTCAGATAGACGAGAGCAGGGATTCTGTATGTTATCCCACTTGGCTCCCTTTCAAACAAAGTTGTTTTAGGAGGTTCTTCTCCGCTGTCTCCCTTCGACGACGTGTTTCCCATGGTGGATCAGAGCTCCTGTGAGCAATAAAATGTCCCAAAATGCATGACAGAGCCTTAGCTTCTTTTATAGTCTTGTTATAACAACCTTCAAAGCACAGACTCGGTGAAGAGTTCACACTCCAGCAGCTCCCCATAAACACAGACCGCTGCATTGCCACAAACAGCGCGCACCGTGCATGCACAACAAAGCCCTTACCTTCACTGGTCGCTCTTCACAGGTCCCACTCGTGATCTTTGTCTGAACATCATACCGTCTATAATCGCACACAAAACCGGAGACCTCTGATGTTCACGACACTGATGCTGTTGGTTCATCAGAAACGAAGCCGTACCTGAGACCGAGAGAGACTTTTACGCTCCCTTCCGCGTTCGCTTCTCAGCTAAACTAAACGTCGACTTTATGCAAATGAATATATGCACCTTTGTATTTGATTGTGTTTTTCTTACTAGCACTACCGCAATAATGACTACATATCAGTTATGGCGGTCACTACCTACGCCGCTCCAAAACGGCCTTCCCCCGCAGGGACGCCCTACACAGAAGCTAGCTAACTAGCCGGTTTAAACAAACACAGGTCAGGCTTAAAATCTACCGAGAGTAATTATTTGCCAAACAATACACAAAATAAAGCATTTCCTGGTTGTAAACGTGTAAGCGTGTCTTTGAATGGCTCAGGTTGGCCCGGCGGAGTATCATCTTGCCATTTTAGTTAATCTTTGAACACCTAAACTCACCGGTCTCTTCCGCCTTTAGCTTAAAAAAGAAATGTTACTGCCCCCTGCTGGACGGGAGAAGCGGCACTCGTCTTACGTGCTGTTGCTAGGATACAGAGAGCTACACTGAAGCTCGGGATCAAACACATTGTAGCAGTTTTTTTTAACATAGTGTGGTGATAAATGGATTAGGCTGCAGTCAGGATGACTTCAGCGTCCTACACCGCTGACGCAGGGCGGAGCTATCCTATAAAATGTTCCCCTGCCGGGACTTCACACCACAGAAGACGAGACGGTATGTTGAAATAAAGCAAGGTTGTAACTAGCTTATATTAGTGAAATAAATATAGTGAAAACGAACAGCACCAAAACCAAGTTAGCTGGTTACTCTAATGTTGTAAGTGCTGTAATGTGAGCTACTGCTATGTACAGTACAAAGTAAATATTATTTATCAAAAGGGGCCCAGAAGTTCAAGCAGTACCAAAGGGCACTTTTATGAATGGAATTTGGGCCATACCCGAAATAATATTTGTGCTTGATCTACTGAGCTGTCTACACTGTATTAAACTGTATGTGTCTGTCTGTATACAGGTGTATGAATGGAGGGATTAGTTGAGAGAAATCATAGTTGGCAAAAATCATAGTTTAATTTTGAACATACATGCTCACATGTATCAGACCAGCCCATCTGGAATCAACAATTATGCCACTTAAATCCCCTTTCTGATCCTCAGTTTAAACTTCAGCAGGTCATCTTGACATGTCTAAGCCAAAATATACTGGGTTGTTGCCATGTCACTGGCTCATAAGATATTTGCATTAGTGAGCAGATGAACTGCTCAGTGAGAAAAGAACTGACAGATCCAGAATGAAGAGACTAACAAATAATGAAGAGTGTTTACCTGTGTGAAAACACCTGCTGGCGTGGATTTAGTCATCCATCTTTGCTTTTATAGGTGCTGGGCACTGGCTTGCGGCTTACAGGGAGGCAGAGGAGCAAAAATACAGGCATCAACGTAGGAGAACAAAAGCAGCTTATAAAAAATGTGAGAGCGAGCTGGCTGATACGTCTCATGGAGTCACATTAGACAGTGCTTTCCTGGTATGAACCTTGAATTCAACACACAAACGCTTATCTGCCAAAAGTTAGAAAAACAGTGATATTTTTTTGCTTTCCTTTTCAGCTCCAGTTGCATCATGTTGACAGACCCTCTGAGCTCTGTTCTCTGGACATCAGCGAGCAGAAACTAAGCTCTGTAAGAGCCACCTTTTCCTACTTTTACTTACCTTTATCAGCCTGTTGGTTAAAATCATTTGAGATTAGTTCCTTTATACTGGGGGTCACAGGTCAAACCAGAAGAACTTGAGGTGTTTGATAACGTGGCTTACATCAACGCATCTATTAACTCCCTCTCTCTAGGTGAATATGCATGCATACATTATCCTGCAAATTTCATTCTAGCATCGCTGTGTGTGCCTCTTTCATGAAGTCATATCAGAGGCTGTCCATTGTTTTTGCTGCAGGATCTTTCAGTAGTTTTGTGTCTCTAAGAGAACTCAACCTGTCATTAAATGAGGTTAGCGACTTGATGTTTGACGCTGCTGCCTTCCCTCTTCTCGAGGTAAGATGACTCGGCGGTGCTTTTTAACTGTGAATGTGCAAAAGAGATGCTGACATTCAGAGCAAGAGTTAAATGTGTGCCATTTTTCTTCTTCTTCTTCTCTCCTTCTTCTTTTGAATGTGGTTAAGTTCACCCGAACAGTGCATTTTAATCCTCGCAGGTTCTGGATTTGTCCTACAACTGCTTATCACCTGATGCTATTGTTTCTCTCGGTCGGCTCCCACATCTTAAGGTCCTTCATCTAACTGCAAATCAGCTTCAGCGTCTCCCTCCTAATCTGGGCTCCTCACACCAAGACCCCACTCAGCTGTAAGTGCCTGAAATAGCAATCTATTTTTTACCACGCTTCACCCACGATCAAGAGATGTTAGCCGTCCATCAGTTCAGATGATGAATTTGCTCGTTTTTTCTGCCCACTTTGATGTACGTTTATACTGAAAAGCTTCAAATGAATAAACTTCAGAAGTATGCGCACATTGGTACTGGGCAAAAACAGAATTTGCGAGTGTAGTCTTGGTCTTCTATCCCCACCTCACACACACACAGACACACATACACACACAGACACACAGTTCTGCCCTGCTTTGTGTTAAATGACTGACAACAAAACAAACTTTAGGTATAAAAAGCTGCCTGATTTACAAATTTACAAATCCAATAGTGGTAGTCATTAAACTGGCTGAATCCAGCTCCCATAAATACATTAGTAAAATATTCCAAGATGAAATAATTTATGGCTATCTTTCAAAACCTGTGTTAACTCAGCATGTTTTAAGTGTTATGATTATCATGATCCATGAAGTTATCCAGTACCTTGGTTATGATTTCATGACACACTTCATTCCTGAAACATTCACAAACGTAGTTTTCAAACCACCAAAAGGGGGTGCACAAATGCTCCAAATTCACACTTCTGATCCGGTAAACCTGCACTCACAGGCCACTTTTTTAGGTACACCTTGCTAGTACCGGTTTGGACAGTGTTTTGACTACAGAACTGCCCTAAAGCTCCATGGTACAGATGGAGATGGAGACAGGGCATATCCTGTTGGAGACAGCCACCACAAGATGGGTACTGTGGTCATAAAGGGATGAAAATGCTCAGCAGCAATACTCAGGTAGGCTGTGACATTTAGACTAAGGTAGTGTGCCAAGAAAATGTCCCATTACACCACCTGCAGTTGCCTGAACCACTGATACAAGGCAGGTTGGATCAATGCTTTCATGTTTTTTCCAGTCTTCTATTGTCCAGTTTTGGTGAACTTGTTTAACTTACAGCCCTTTATCCTGCTCTTAGCTCACAGGAGCTTGGTTGTAAAGAGTGGATATTTGAGTTGCCCTTGCCTTCTTATCAGCTCGAAGCAGTCTGGATATTCTCCTTTGACCTCCACCATCAACAACACTTTCACCCAGAGACCTGCCAGTCAAGGGATGTTTTCTCTCTTTGAGGTCAACCTCTGTAAACATTCTGATGCTCGTATTGAACTTCAGCAGGTTGTCTTGACCATGACCACATGGCAAGAGGCAGTGAGCTGCCGCCATGTGATTGGCTGATTTGTGTAAATGAGGGGTTGAATGGTTTACCAAAGTCACTGATGAGAATAGATACATTACAGAATACAAAATCTTATTTCACTTTAAGTGTATCATCACACACATTTAGCATTTCCTCGTTTACGTGTAGGCCGGCTAAAGAGGAAGACACATGCTTTCAAGCTCTAGAAGTCCTGATGCTTGATGATAATGAACTGACCTCTGGAGTCTTCAGCAGTCTTAAAAACCTAACGAGGTCTGTAAGTTTTCCTGTAAAGACTTTTTGCATACAAAATATTCATTATACATGCACTTTTAAAAAGTCTGCATGCATATTGCCAGCCTTTGTGCGTCACAGTGCAAGTGAGAAATTGCACTTTTAAACAAAGTGTTTTGTAACATTATCACAATGCACAGCAATTTAGTGGAAACGCTCATTAAGCATTTTTAATTGTTGATTACAGGCTAAAGCATTTATGCCTACAGGGGAACTGCATTTCTGAAATACCGTTCATGCAACTGGTGGGTTTTTCCAAACCTGTGCAGACTGCCACTGAAGAAGAGGAGGAAGAGGGTAAATACTCGGCATCGGCTTTGTGTAATTTACATGTGTGTCCAAAATTTCCTTTAAAAATATCTCTCCCGATCCAGCACTCGCTCACTCGGAGCCTTCCGATCAGTATATGACAAGAATCTCAGAGGTAATTCGTCCATGATCTTTTAGATGCGTCATCACTGTAGCTCGGTGTTATTCTCCCATTAAACTTGTGTGTCTCGTGGCCACTCTAGATCTTTCACAAACATAACTGGGAGCAGAACCGCAAAGAATCCAGTTTACCTCTTCCAGCGCTGCAGTACCTCAATCTAGCTGACAACAAGGTGTGCTGCTGCTTTTTATAAATAAATCCACTATTTTTGGAAAACGAGGTAGCGTGACACACCAGTGGTTTCTCATCAGGTTGCTAAGGAGGAAGCACTGATGGCTGCCACTCTTTTCCCGATGCTTCGTGAAATTGATATTCAGTTCAACCCCGTAACCACGCGGAGGAGAGGTAATATTCCTCCTGTAAAGGATCATTTTAAAATAGGCGTTCGGGGCTTCAGAAACAACCTCATCATGTCTTTGTTTAAATACAGGAGACCCTCCCTTGCTGGCCTACATGCAGGAGAGACTTGGAATAAAAATAAAGCAGAAGAAAACACAGGAGGTTGTGAAGCGCCCGCTGAAAGTGTCCACTGAACCGAAATGGAAGGTTGGACTTTTTTGTGTTTGATCACGATCCGTTGAATTTTGCTGTATCAATGTCCAGGCTGGAGTCTTAGGTTTAGTAGGTTTAGTGATTTTGCAGAAAGGACGTGTGATTGACTCCAAGGTGGTCATAATTTTGGTAGCGTTTGCCTCTAAACTTGATCGTTTTTGATGAATTCTGATAAAACTCTGTAAGGGCGTAGAGTGGGGTCATGCTAACAATCCATTAAAAATCAACTTGCATCCACTAAGGTCTTCAAGGCTAACTTAATGATTTATTGGTCAGAAATTGATAAAAAAAAAATAAGTCTGGTGTGTGTTATCAAGCTTTTTGCTTTTTGTATTAATCACTGTAAAGTTCTATTTCAGTGAGTGAATCATTATTTTTTCAATGTTTTCATATTGGAGGTGGATGAAAAAATACCAAAGGTGTCAAAGAAGCTAATACTGCTGAATCCACAAAGCCAGGCTGGCAAAAATGAAGGCAGAAACCACACCTTCCATGAAAAAAGAAAACCCTTCTTTCTTACTCAGGTATGTTCCTCAGTAGTTTTCCTCATTGGGATATAAAAATCCATCATTTTACTAAGTTTTTTAAATGTTATTTAATGCCGCAGCATTTTATCGTAGTCGGTGTTATTT